CCAAAAGGACAATCAAGAGGAATAGTAGCAAAAAAAAAAAAAAAAAACCCCAGCTAGATTAAAATGCAATTTAGAAAACTAAAAACTGGAGCCTGAGAAGGTGCTATTTAAGAGACTGAGCTGAATACAGCTCCTCAGACTGAGGAAGTCTCTCGGATGAGAGACGAAACGTTTCTACATTTTTTTTTTGTTGATTTGCTTTGTTTTGTTTTTTTGAATGTCCAGAGGACCAGATTTAACTTTTTTAGATTTTTCTACCTGGATTATTGAGCATGCATCAGGATAAAAACTGGAACATGTCTATATTGGTTCTTGCCAGGAGTCCAACAGATGCTTAAAGCCACTTCGAGAGGTCAAGGTCGAGGGCTTCAGATCTTTTTGCAAGATGTTCCAAGAAACAGTAGGAGAAGGCCCTTTTGCCTAGTTCAGTTAGGTCTAAAAAAATTGTATGACTTTTTATAACTGTTCATTGTTGTCGCTGTTATCCATTGTTGTCATTATTGTTTGTTGAAATCAGGTCTCTCTTGTAAATGAGTCCTCGAGGCTCAATGGGATTTACCTGTCTAAATAAAGGTTGAATGAATGAAAACTTTAATTCCTGTTTAAATGCAATTCATCCTGCCATACCTAGAGTGTCTTCAGACATTGCCAGCAAGTTGAAGCTTAATCATTAAATTATTATCTTTGTGTTAGATTTATTTATAAATCACATTTAAACACTGCTTGTACCAATTAGCACGTTCTCTATCACTGTCATTAATCAGATAACAAACAAGCAGCAGCTTCAGCTACAGAGAGACTGACGTTACGTTTTCTCACTTGGAAACAGAACAGATGTGAATAGTGTAGAGACTCACCTGCAACACATGACGAGTTGTATCTGCTGCAGCTCCTTCCTCCTCCTTGTGACTCCGACATGTTTACGTTTATCAGCGTGGTTCTCCCGTGTCATGTCGTCAATTTTCAAAGCTGCATGTTTCTCAGATTTTATCTTTGTGAAGTGCTCCCACTTTTTGGAGGACTTGGGTCGAACAGTTTTCGCTGCGTCGGTCATTTGTAAAATTTACTTAATTTCCTTTGAAAACACCGCCTCTGCTCTGCTTCCACCTCCCCTGTTCAATTCGCGCTGCAGTTATTTTTTTCAAACTTTATTTATTTATTCAGTCAGTCAGCATTGACAATGAACTGCAGGTGAACAAAACGGCTTTGTAGCGCCGTGAAAGACGCATAATCGCGTGACACAACAAATCGATATTGCCAACGCTTTTAATCATCAATTTTATAGATTCTTTGTTGCAGCCCTAATACTGTGTATTATATATATATATATATATATATATATATATATATATATATTATGTAGAGGAAAGGGTCCTCAGATCGTCAAATTTTTATTAGTAATTTTATTCTGAAGGGGCACCACTTGCTTTCCGGATCTTAAGCAAGAAAATTATTAAATCAGACTCAAGTTTTGTGCTCTAGTGAGTTCTTTTCGTATTAAATTCTGTAGTGAACTCGGCCTCCAACTAAAACCTGCCTCTGAGGACCTTCATGGGACAGGAACTGTTATTTCATTGATTTGAATCCAGAAATACAAATTAGCTCATCCAGAGACTGTCTAATTGTATCCTGAAGTAATCAATTGAAAGAACACTCTTCATTTTATATTATCATTACTATTTTACAATATCTTGATAAATCAAAAGTGTGTTTAGTTCATACCATTTCTAAATGTTGAAGTGAACCACTCATTTTAAATCAAATGTGAAACAGTATTAAGGATTTTTTAATCCTCATTTAAATTAGAAATCAAGTTAAATGTCTATTTACAACATAATTATGCATTTTGATCCTCTGTCTGAATGAGAAGTAGTGATGTCGGTCGAAATTCAGAAAGGAGTTATTAGAACAAAGTGGATTGTTTTTAAACCTAGCAGACAGTAAATAAGAAGCAACTGGCACCTGCTTGCTCTCACTTCTTCAAAACATTTCTTCTGTCTGTATTGGATGTTCCTAAACATTCTTGCACTTTCTTGACTTGTAATAACCCTCTGACATCACTAGAACCACCCCCTGTTGGTTGTTTCAACCAATCAGGAAGTCCTGAATGGTGCTCTGGTGTGAAGGGGGGCATAATTAAGCTTGAGAATAATGCACAGGAACTGATGGAAATGTTGCGTAATCTCTCTCACCAACCCCTCTGACAGAGTTCCACTCAAGCTTCTGTAGTTCAAGCCACTACCACACATCTTGCACCCTCATGTCATGAGCCTCGTCTTGTCCCCCCCAGAACTGTTTAAAGGGGAACCTGATCAATGTCAACCTTTTATAACTCAATGTGAGATTCACTTTCAGCTACAGCCATCATACTTTCCATCTGAACGATCCAGGGTGGCTTACATGATCTCCCTCCTTTCTGGCAAAGCCAAGTCATGGGGAACTGCTGAATGGCAAAGGGATTCCAGGTACTGTTACTCTGTTAATTAATTTTCTAAAGAACTGTGTAGAGTGTTTGATCCTGTATTACCCAAGAGAGAGGCTGCTCGAAGACTGTTTTCTGTTAAACAAGGAAGAAGACGGGTCACAGAATATATTAATGACTTTCATGCCATTTCGGCTGAGAGACGATGGAATGAAGAAGCACTAACAGATGCTTTTTTCCAAGGATTAAATGATAACATCAAGGATGAGTTGGCCACCAAGGACTACCCTGAATCTCTCAAGAAACTTGAGGACCTGGCTACCCGTGTCGATCTCCGCCTCTGGGAGAGAAGTCGTCGGAGAAAGGCCAGACATGAGAGAACAACTCTAACCTGAGGTGAGTCAAGAAGCATCACAGTCAATACTTCACAAAACCCTCCACCTAACCACCCTCTATCTGAGGAATCCATGCAGTTGGGAAGGAGTTGTCTCTCTTCAGAAGAAAGGGAGAGGAGGAGGAGGCTGCACCTATGTTTCTTTTGTGGGGAGGAGGGCCACTCTGTTGCTAAGTGCCTGTTAAAAGACCAGACTCAGTAGGAAAGAGGAGATTCCTACTGAGTCAGATCAGGACCCCCAAGATCTCCTCACCTCTCACTGTGCCAGCTGAGATTCAAGTACTGGGTAGGAAACCTATACCTGTGCCTG